GTTAACCCAGAGTGAGCTCAGGAGCAGCTGAGGTTGCAGGTTCTGCAGGGGTATTGGTCCTGTGGCATGGGGAGGTGTGTGCTGCTGTTTCTGATCACTGATCATCACGCTTTGCATTTCATTACAGTCTTTGCAACAGATCTTTCTGTCAGAGAAAGCAGGAGCTTGAAAACGTTTACGTTATGCCACTGCCTTTTAAGTTCATATTGTAATGGTTTTTACTTTGGCACAATGACATTTCAGATTCTTTTATCTTAAAGCAAGAGATACTGGAATGAAATCTGCGTGGGAAACCGTATCCCAAGTGAGCCTGTTGTCCCAGCAAATGTCTGTTGGGACATGAGAGGAGGATGTGGAGGAGAGTGGGCCTTGGTGTGTGGTCAGACACTGTGGAACTGCCTTGGTCTCTTTTGAGATTTTCACCAGTTCCCTTCTGGGTTTCTGTTGGCAGGCCAGGCTTTCCAAGCGGAGAAGAGATTTGAACTTGGCACAAAGTCAGAAGATTCGCGAAGAGAGGAGCGCGTGTCTGGGGAGGGAATGTTGCTTCCTTCCCTTTGCTTTTTTTTGGTTCAATAAATCTTAGCCCGTTTCTGAGGTGTTTCTCCTACCTGGAGCAGGAGGGGCTGGGTGGAAGCAGTGCCTGCTCTGCTCTAAGTTGTGAGGTGGAGTGGCATGTGTGGGTGCTTCCCTGAGAGCCCAGCTGTGGGAGGGACATCTCGAGAGCACTGCTCTTCAACACACTCCGGTGGGTCATTTACTCAAAGTCCATTCAGCTTGGGTGGGGTGTCAGCAAAATCTGGAAGGCTGCCTTGGTACATCCATGGAGTTTCCTTGTGTGAAAAGGCTGTGGCTAAACTTAAGGAAGAGTGAGTAGTTAAGAGTCACGGTGCTCTTCTGCAGTTGTGTGCTTAGTGTGAAACGTGAGGTGGTGTTTTGCATTTGTTCTGGCTTCTCTTACTCCTTCCTCTGCCATCTGCAGAAATGATTCTATGATTTGTTCTTCAGCACACGTAGCTCCTGGGAGGTTTGACCATAGCGCTTCTGAAATGCAGCTACTTTCTTTTAGTCATCCCAGAAATGTGACTCAAAATGTCTCACTTATCTGGGCGTATCCAGTGCATACCAGAAGGGAGAGATGCCTACCTTCTCTGAAAGACCTTCCTTTGAGCAAGATCACATTACAAAAAATTCTCCCTACCACCTGTAAACACTGAGAGTGATCTTCTTGCTGCATGGCAGCGAGAGAATCAACACCTTTTCCTCTCACTTTCCCTATGCTGAGCGAGTGGAAGTAAGAATTGTTCTGTGGATTTTGATGTTGGCTTTTTTAGCTTCCAATCTTTTTGATGAATCTGTGGGTGTGAATGGCAGGATACAGTACTGGGCTATGTTGAAGTAGCCTCATGAGGAGATGGCACCATGTGGAGGTTGTCCAGAGGAAAGTTTTGTTGAAAGGGTCTGCTGAAGCAAGAGAAGGCAGAAATAGCCACTGTTCCCATTTGGAGTAGTTTTTGTTTCAGGCTGCTGCCTTAACCATCACAAACTTGTACAGGTTGCTGCTAAGCTTTGAGCTGTGAAGTGGATTGAGACCAAAGTGGATGTGGAGCAGGTGTGACCCAGTGTCCCTGGGGGATCTGAAGGAAGATGCCAATGGAACAGACAGTGAAAGGGCAGTGCTGGAGATCTGGGGTTGTCAGCTGGGTGCTGCCTGAGCATTTCATGTGCTGGCTCAGCTCTGTGGCTTGCCTGCTGGGTGAGGAAATGCAGAGGGGTTCCACACACATCCCCTGTACTCACAGGAGGCTGGGGGTGCAGGGATGGGACTGGTCAGTGCCATGCAGCACTGAGACATTCACACCAGCACTGATACACACATCCCCAGGGGCAATGGAAACTGGTGGGGTGAGATTTCGGATCCAGGGCAGCTGAGTGGATCCTAACAGTGTGCTTGTGCCCCCAGGCTGTGTGCTCCTCTCTCTCTCTGCCAGCTTCCATCTTCTGCCACTGACCTATCTGGCTGTCTGCTTCCTGGGGGCTAATGAGTTGCAGAGGGCTCTGTGAGCATGTAAAGGTGACAGCAGCACAGATGTGTGACAGGAGGGACACAGTGAGGAACTGCTGGGGCCTGGAGCTGCTCCAGCAGTGTGCAGGTTTGCACCCATACGTGGTAATTCCCTCTGCTGGCAGAGTGTTGAGGGGCTTGTGACCTGTGTGAAGTCCACAGCTGACTCTTCCCTGTGAGGATTTGCAACAAATTCACTCGGAAGTGGAACACTGCCCTTTGGTGTGAAGGATTTGTGTGTCTGTACTGGGAATAGGAACTTCTCTTGGCCAGAGAGAGTTCTGACCTGGCTTGAGCAATGCCAACTGTGCTTCACATCATCAGAGAAAGGTGAACAACTTGCTAGAGTGATAATCGTGATCGGGTGATGCTACGTAATTAAAAACTCTGATTAATTCAGGTAGGGAGAGATGTTAATTTAAATGTATCTTAACCTTCTATTCTGTTGGTATGCTAACATTCAGGAGGGAACTCTTCCTGGTTAGGATAACTGCTGGCACATTCATTGGAGCTGACAATAGATTTTTCAGTACATTTAGAACTAGGAAAATGTCTAATTACTCAGATGACTAGGTACATTTCAGAAGCGCTTATTTGGAGGCTTTGTTTTGACTTTGTTTGAAGAGCATGAAATGCCTAACATTTTACCTCGGAAGGAAGTTGAATACAAATGAGGGCAGAGGACAGGCTTTAAAAATATCACTGAGGTGATGCTGAATGTGTGAGGTGCCGAGGAAAAAACATCTACAACTGAGCAGTGGAGATAAACTGCCTGGAGTAAAGCTCAGTGGCCAGAACCAACCCTCCTTCTTGGAGCTAGAACTTCCTATTTCTCCTCCGTAGTCTTTGGGGGAGAGATCAAACCTCAGTGATCCCTGAGTGTTCCCCATGTAAATCCTATCACTTTGTATGATCCTGCTGAGTGTAATTTGGATGTTTGTATTTTTCAGTGGAAGCGTTCTGTCTAGAGCCTGAGTGCTTTATTGGAGTCAGAGTTGCACTGAGACCTGTTTTGAGTCATTTTTTAAGGTGGAGCTTGTGCATGTCAAGAACAGCTCTGAAACTGAGCTTAAAATCTCAAAGCTGCTAGCCAAAGTCTGTGGATGGGATTTTACATGATTTTCACCTGGATGCTTTGTGCATGCCAAGTGCTGAAGGATGGTGGGAGCGGGAGGAATGGGCTGCTCTTTTGAAAGGCCTCTTTCCTTGCCTTTCACCAGGTGAGGGTGCCCAAAGGATCTTCCCCTCGTGTCCCTTGGCAGGTGTGGCCTGTGCTCCTGCAGCCCTGCTTGGCAGGAGGTGCCCCTGCAGCTGCTTGCCCAGGGAATAAAAGCTCTTGTCCAATGGAGCTGTTGATGCTCCACCTTTCATCAGCTCCGAGCAGGCAGGCGATTTCTGTGGCAAGCTTGTGGCTGTATCAAATTGGCTATGAAATGATTTGCATAATAGATTAATCAACCAGCAACAAATCATCCCTCTTTTCTGCCAAGAAAAGAAAAGCAACAACTCGGCTGTTACAAGAGGCCATTATGTTCCTTGCAACCCTTAATCTTTCTTTCTCTCCAAGAGAGCTCCGTGTTTTGGCCTCACGCAGGAAGCTGGCCTGCTCGCTGGCTTTATTTGCGTCACATCTTGGCAGCTTTTTCCAATTCTTTTGGGCCAAATTTTGCCACCGTTGTGGTGACCTTCTAGGGAGGGTATTTCCTATGGAACCAGTGGCCGGCTGCCAGACGATTCTGTGTTACCAGCTCCTCTGTTAGCCTTTGCCTTTCCATTGAAATTCCTCCGGGCCCCTTGAGCTCCGTCAGAATTGACCCATTTCCTTGGGAAGTGGGGGAGCAGGAGAATAAGGGGCAGCAAGTCACCTCAGCACATAGTGAGTGGGCAGGAGCTGGTCACTGTGTTTCATTTCTCCTGTGTTTCTACCTCCGTGTAAGCCAGCAGGACGGATTTCCTAAGCTGCACGGTCCTCCTGCTGCTCCAGATGTGACATCTGCGTGTCCTTGCCCGGCTCAAGGATGCCCAATCAGTGCTGGGGGAGTTCTCAGTCCGAGTGGATCCTAACGTGCAGATGATAAGAGGCTTAACTGGCTAATTGAATGTGATAGCGTGAAGCTTCTCTCATGGTGAGGTTTAATTGGATTATGATACTGTACAGTGATGTGGAGCCTTGCAGGGCACGCAGCCAGCTTCACAGGGAGAGAGTGGATCCTTGCTAATCACTCATTTGTTTAAAATAATGAATTGCCTAGAGAGCTCTGATGGGCGTGCTCTGCTTGCTGCAGCCAGTATCCCTGGAGAGGGGATCCCTAAAAAACCAGGGGCTACCACACATGTAGACCCTGTCCTTGGGTTGCTGCAGCTCTAGAGGAGGGTCTCCAGGTGAGGAAGAGACGAGCACCTTTTGCTTGGGAAAGCAGATGTTGTGTGCTGGAGTCTGGAACGTGTTTCCTCCTCTAGAACCTCTCCCACAGAGCTTTCTGTGGCTGTGTGGCTTGTCACAAGCTGTGCCTTTCTTTTGAGGTGGCCTGCCTGTTCCTTCTCGTCTAGCAGCTGCCAGGCTGCCTTCCAGCACGCTTACTTGCAGGGCAATAACTATTTTTGATCGGGAGCTCAAATGCTTCCCCTGCTCCAGCGGGAAAGCAATCTGATTTTTAAAGTCCACAGCAAAAGTAAACCTGAGAGCAGCTTTTGTAGGCTGTGAGGTTTGCTTGGAGGAGGCTGTGGTACAAACCAGAGCTGGGCTCTGCAGGCCAGGCAGTGTTCAGGTGCTCACCTGGCTCAGGGGATGTTGGCAGCGCCTGTATTTTGGGTGTGTGTGCTTTATGAAAGGCACTGAGCTGCTGTTCCTGGGAGTTTTTGCACTGAAAGTAACAGTGTTTGGTTTACCGATGTTTCAAAAGGGTCTGAAATGTACAGGGTTGCTCAGATCTGTTTTCAGAAGAGTTGTCAAGGAAAATAGCATTTGTTCTCCTGTAAGTGGATGGATTAGCATAAAATATCAGCTTTGATGCCGTGTGAAGTGTGAAGCTCCTCATCCATAGCCTTTGTACTGGTTTGGAGAGTTAACTGTTTGTCTCAGCAGTGTTTGAAGGGGCTGGGAGATGCCCCAAGGATGCTGTGTGTCATCTGGGCACGAGCAGCACCTGGGCACTGCAAGCTTTTGCTGAGCTTGTCCCGTTTCTTGCTGTGGCTCATCCACGCGATCAGATAAATGTGATCGCTTTGCTGTTGCTGGGAAATGGCAATTTAGCCACTTTTCCCCCAGTGCTCTAACATGTGGGACCTCCCTCCCACAGCTCTAGTCCGGGCTAATGATAAACCCACTCCTCTCTCCTGCTTGTTTGCTTTTTTGGCAGTCAGGTGCCCTGGAGCCTGTAGAAGGAAAGTGAAAGGGAATAGCCAAGGGGGATTGCTGGTGTTTAACCAAAATCTACATAGCTTGCAGGTCCTTCTGGACCTCGGGGAGGTGGTTGGGTTTGTTCTAAAAAGGAACAAACCTGGTGATCCAGGATGACTTTTATTTTTTGAA